AACGAGATGAGAGGCAGAAGAATTAAGTAATCCTCGGCGGACGCAGTCTCAGAAAAGAATCTGAAGGAGACGGCTCCCATGATTCTAGCGCGGTAGAAGACAGCGGCTTACAAGGACAGTTGCGCACCACGGAAGTTGGCTGAGGTGATGAAGGGAATGGAAATCTCGACGTACTCGACAACGGAGGAGGACTTCAAGGGGTTCGACGAGTGGACAAACGTGGGAGGTGGACGTTGGCAGAATGGCTCTCGACCCAACATCAGGCCACTGGGAAACAAATGGCTAGCGATCCTCTTGAGAGAAATGCGACGAGGAGTACCGCTCGACCTTGTTGGGTGGCTCTGGAGACCAGGAAAGAACTGGAGGATTGCCTGAAGAAACTTGATCGTGGAGTGTCCCGCAAGCGTCGTCATTGGGTTTCCCAACAGAAAGCCGAGATTAATAAGTTAGAGTGGGGAACCAGCTGAGACGAACTTGGCAAAACTTGCTGCTGGAGTATTTCGAAGAGGCGATGAGAACACCCTCGTCAGCGTTGTCATTGATGGCAAATCCTTTCGTCAGAACGGCAGGACAGCTGATGTTCGCATGGAGCTTGGTGGGAATAGAGCTGGAGGTGTTGACCTCACACGATAGATTGAAGCTGGGCAACAAACGTCTAGAGGTTTATCAAATGCTGGTGCAGCATATCCTTAGAGATAATTCCGGTTTCATTCTAGCGAGGAGAAAAGATGCCACTTGTTTCTTGAGATGGATAATGTCCGTGATGACCGACAGTACCGTCCAAACGTGTCATCAGAAGTCGATGGGAAGTAAAACTAAGGAAAGAGAATCTCCACGGTCATCCTGAACGTGTACCAGAGTACTGGAATCGAAAAAGAGGATGGCTCCAGAAAGTCTCGGGAGACTTGATGAAATACGGAGATTCTTCAACAAGAAGTTCGAAGAGGGGCATGACGTGCATCGTAATTTAGCCCGGGCCGAAGATTACTCGAAACCCACCAAACGGTGAGTATATCAGTATGTGTCTGGAGTAATGGGGATAGCATACAACACTTTCTTGGATTCGGAGGCTGGGAACTACCATAAGAATTATGAAGTGACAGAGCTGTTGAAGTTCTGTTAAGAGAAGATAATTGAGATTGACCCAGTGGTAAGGGAAAGGCCGAGCGTAGGCCTTAAACTTGAGAAGATACCAGAAGTAATTAGCGTGCCGCGCTCGAACAAGAGGGTAGAATTGAAATTGGGAAAAGGAAACGGCATGCTGACAACGAATTTGGGGACTGTTGGAAGTTGCTGAGGCCTTCCTGGTGCCCACATCCCCATTCAAGTTTGATTGAAGAAGTCACGGAGCGAGTGAGACTGTCACCAACGAAGGATGAGGACTTGGGGACTCAGAATGTGGTACACAAACGGATCTTGATCCTACCCCATAGTAAGGAGTCGGAAGAAACAATGAGCAAGCTAGATAAATCAGCGAAGAAGATGGAACCCGGGAGTTGTCTGGACCTGATTTGTGGAAGTGGAGAGCATTCTTGCGATGGACGATTCTGCCTGTGTCAGGATACAGTCCTTCCAGAAGGAAGACTTAGCCACTTGGTTTGGTGACATCACAGAAGAGGAAAAGAGTGAAGTACAGATAGTGGCTGAGTGTTACACGAACACTACTGTAAATATAGCAATGGCGTTGGGGTTCTTCTCAAGGATGTGCAGCTTGCAGTCGCTGGAGATGCTGGAGTCCGAGCACCTTTTAGTGACAGCGTTGAGCGTGGAGTCATGGCCTGGGGCGTTGCAAATAACCCAGAAACACATCAGAGGGTGGAAGATTGGTCTTGAGGCGGAAATGGGGTTTCCCGTGAGTGAAGCCTATAGTTTGCCAGTGAACGCGAAGTCCCTTGACGGATCGGTGATGGCCAACCTGTGTGGAAGCCACTACCCATTAGACATGGCAATGGTGGAGGTATCCAGCCAGAGGATACTAATCGACAAAGCCTTCTAGGTACCCAAGTGCGTACGCATGGCTCGAGTGTCGCATCCCTCGCACAGACTGTTGAGAAAGATCCTGGGAACTGTACCAGGGAACACTGAGATAACTTGAGTGAGATCTGGGGAAGAACTCTTGGGTCTGGAAGTTGAGAACACGAGTGATTTCGAGAGACAAAACACGATCGGGAAACAAATGAACAGTACCCCAGCCCTGGAGGAGATTGATGTGACACACAAAAAGATGATGGAGCTGGAACTTCTGCTGGAAGCTTGGGGAGAGCGCAACCTCCAGAGTTTCAACCTCACGCAGGGGGAATGCCCGTGCCATTGTCTGGCACAGACGATGTGGTATCCGGAGCACTCAAACCTCCGTTTGATATGGGACATGGATGAAGTTCGGTCAATCGGGTTACCCGACAGAAGGTCACCCTCCTGGTAGTGAGTTAGATGCTGGCATTGCGATGGATGGACGAAAACGTGACAAAATATCGGGAGTCGAAGGCACCGACAGCGGAATCGATACACGCTATTGATTACAGCAGGAGGCTTGAGTTGTTTGAGACTGCGTGCAAAGTCTTCGCTATACCTATGGAGGTCAAGCACGTGTAGAGTCGCATAAAATTTTTCCCATGGTTTCGAGCGACATTGATGTCTTGGTTATACGCGGTGACGAAGGATCAAATGAAGAAGCATCAGAAAAAATATCGACAGTTCCTGGCCGAGATAGGGCCGGAAGCCTTCAGGAGACCCTTGCTGCCACATCGTAATGCAATCACTACGGGTTGGAAGAGAATTGGTAGGGTGTCTAGAGATAATACCAAGGCGAGGGAACCAATATTGGAGGAGGACTTAGCAAAAAACGTGAGCTTGAGCTTGCATAACTCTTTTTGCTTGAACAGGGAATCTAATGTGAAGGTTTTGCCGAACCAGGCGAAGAGATTGCAAGTGTCGAATGCATCAGAGCCCAGCACCTCAACCTCAAGGGCGAGGAGCACGAAGTGAGCAGGAAGCTCAGTATCAGATTCTTGAGTCTTGAACGGGGAAAGGAAGGAGGCATCATTGTGAACTCGGATGAAATCCGAGGTCCCGGAAATTTTTTTTTGTGAACCAAGATATTGTTATTAATATGCTATACCTATTACAAAAATCAAAATGCTGCATGACAATTTTCTGATTGGATAAGACAAAAAATTTTTAAATCATTAGCTTGCAAAGCGGAAATTTAGGGTGCAGATGTATGCAGATTTTGTTTGCTGTTCAGCGATAATGTGACAATTTTGCATGGTTGTGATTTTTGGGGTGTAGATAAAGTTAAATCTGCTGCAAACTTCTGTAAATGACCAGTGGCACTGTATCTTAAATAATACTCAACATTCTGGGGGCTCACTGGCAGACGACGACACGCGATGATTACGTCGATCTTGAGTCCGGGGAGTATGTGCCAGTCGGTCATATTTGGAAGTTTGACCTTGAGCAACGCAAAAGACATGATTTTGGGGTAAAATGGATTTTTTCAAAAATTCGAATTGAGCATGTCATGCTCAAGTTTCTTGCGACAACTGAAAATATCAGAAAATAAGATCAGAAGAACCGAACTACAATCGAGAGGAAAGTAGTCGAAAAAACAGCGGGAAATTGCTATTCGCAAATTCCAGATATAAGATTGTGCGAGAGTAGAGCTGTCTCATTCTTAAGAGAAGACAGAGTGATCGTGAGTGGAGAAGGAAGCGAATCAGTATTGGTCCAGAGTGAACCTCCGGTGGAAAGGTGGACAACCGAAGTCTCCCAATGGTCCAGCCCCAAAACTCATTTCTCAAGCTGAAACTCTTTTCATTTAAAACTCCTCGAGTCAAACTTGATAACCAATTGTTCTAGAGTTACTTGTTAATTTAGTTACTCAATTCTAGAGAGTGTGCCGGTATGTGAGTATCCAATTTAAATTTCTTGAGTGTGTTTCATTTTGTTATGTTGAGGTAAGGAGAGTTTTAGGTTGATCCATCTGAAATGGATCAAAGGTCCACTGTCTAATAAAAAGAATCTATACGGATTGTTCCGACCCTGTTTTTAACTGCGTTCGCGTGTTTTAGGTATTTTGAGACCTAAGTATGGGGACGTTCTTATTTTCTAGAGTTGGTGGGGGGTATTTTGGTAGTGGCCTTTAAGCTGTAACAAAGGTTGTAGTCTCATGTCGCAAGTGAACCGAATTGGCGCCGACCGTTCGAGGTAGAAAACCACAAGAGATAGTGTCCCTGACTCCTGAGCCAATGGTTATAGGGCCTATTTTTCTTTAACCTCATATGTGACTTAAGTAGGCGACTGTTACATGGCTTCTTTTTGCTGGTCTACCCTCCATGCCTGAAAATTCTCTGATTTTGATCAGATTTTTTCAAAAGACCGTCAGGAACACCTTTGTTCCATTTGTCCAACCTCTGCTGCAGACAGTTGACGTGGTCGGGCTTTTCGATATCTTTGATGGTTTCTGTCGATGCACAGGAAGCAGAGAGAAAGCAAAGAAAAGATGTAGCACCTGCAGAGTTGTTAATAATTATTTCAAGCAAACGAAACATTTCTGCAACAAAAGCTTTACCCGCATTACCGTTTTTCCATTCAAAGTTTTTAACTCCTCTGTGTTTGTAGGGATATAGTCGGGCAAAGATCTGTAGTTTCATACAATTGGATCATCAAGCTGCATACTCTCCATCGCCTGAGTAGGTCCGGGGATGAATACGTGTCGTCGTCAATCATCATGCCGTCCATCTGTTGTGTGATCCCAGAGGAGCGTGAGCGGCAGATCTGACAGATGAATGGCTCATCAGCTGGTAGAATTTTCACAGCTGATTGGCTCGTGCCCGCGCAGCTGAAGTGATACCATTTACAGCATTCTTCACACAGAACTCCGCGACTGATGACTGTTTTCCCGAATCTACTTGTTTCTTTTCCATATGGAGCGGGGTCGTCTTCGCCTCCGATCTGTTCGCTCGCAAAACGTGCTCTGCGGTGCCTCGTGATCATTACACCTATTTAATAAGTTTATCACAACTGGTCGAATGGCACACTTCCATGATGTTGTAGTATAATGCATCTGCAACATGTGTTTGTCGAAACAACTTTGCTGCTTTGGGTATGCTAGTTCTTATTAAATGCCGGCAATTGCAGTGCTGAAAGCGTTCTCCTCAAAATGGACATCGTTCGAGACAAGTCTTTGAGTTTTTTGCAGGTGTTTTTTTTCGAGTTTAGGGCGTTCTTCATTTTCTGTCTCCCTGTCTGAGTAAACTCCTTTTTCTAAATTAATTTTACTCAATAAAAATTATAAGAAATTTTTGGGAAAGAAAAACATGTTTTGGGAGTTCCGTTGTTCTGGATAGTTCGCTATGTTTCGATGTTCAAGTTTCTGAAGGTAGACTTTTCACTGTAAAGGTAGACGGCGCTAAAAATAAGACTTACTCCTTTTTCGCTAAACCGTTTTCTAGTTGGGCATGGCTACTCTGTTGCGTGTCGACCCACCAAATGAACTTGTTTTTAATGGACCCTTTACCGAAGTTACTGAAAAAGCTATTCACCTCTTCAATGTGTCGGAAAAGGATGTATGCTTCAAAGTAAAAACAACAGCACCTAGAAAGTACTGCGTTAGACCCAATAATGGAATTATAGAAGTTGGCAAACAGCAGGATGTCCTGGGTTAGTGCATTTTCTAATCGAAGAAATAGTGAAAATGTAATGGGGAAACAACCAAAAATTTAGTAAACCAACTGTAGAATACATTTAAAGTCAAACAATTTAGCTAGTGCATTCAATTTTTTACATTTATTTTCAAGATTTTTTTATTGTGTGAAAATTTCAAATGATATGGAATTCTTGCATGATTTATTTGTTTGTGGATTTACCTAACGGATTTTGTTTGAAATTTTCGTAGTGTTTTTTTTTCAGTGCTCCTTCAGCCATTTGAGTATGACCCACAGGATAAAAATAGACACAAATTCATGGTCCAATGCATGGAGCTAACACCAGAAGAAAAGGCGTCTTACGAAAACAACACAGAAGCACTAGTGAGTCGAAAAGTTGCTTTTTTGTGACGTATATTAAAGTAAATATTATCGCTTTTTCTGTAATTAGTTCAAAGAAATTGAAAGAAACAGCCCCGACCGAATTCTGGACACAAAGTTAAGATGTTCTTTCGCCGTCCCCCCTCAAAATGGGTCTGGCACTGAAAAAAGCAGTGGAGGTGCAGCAAATCTTCCCGAATTGCAGCGACTGGAAACCGAAGTGTCGCAGCTGAGGCAAGAGTTATCAAAAAGCAAGGTATGTCTTAATTAATTGGTTTCAAAGTATAATTTACGGTGTAGGGACAAAGAAACAGGTTTCGAAAATCAAGCCGCGAACTGTTTCGTTTTGCAAACCGAAAATTTTCGTATGAAATCAAAATATTCGCCGGTCTATCGTTTTTCTGAATATGTTGGGAGAAGACCTGTGGTATGCATAAACGTGAGTTTCAGGGCTTTGTTTCCGCAGCACAGAGTTTTATTGGGATTTAAGCGAATATAAAGATGCTTATTGTTCCGACCATTGAAAATGGGGAGGAACTTTGTGTTCGGAAGTTTTAGTTTTTGTTTTCCACTCAAACTCAGGTACCACAAATAATCATCGGAGAGAGTTGAGTGATATAACATAATAAAGCCTTTTTAGTCGTGATTCGAACAACATTAAAAAGTTGCGAAAAATTTCTCCAGTGATGATAAAAAACCGCTTTGAGATTTTTGATTTTTCGTCTTAATTCGGGTGAATAAATAAGCTTGCAATTTATTTTTTTTTCAGTATTTTAACTTTAAAAAAACTGCAAAAATAATTTGCTTTGTTTCTTTTTAGTCAGTTTTACAGAAATTGTTTTCCATTTTGCGTATTTTACTAAGACTGTCGAAAATGTCTAAGCTCTAGTTTTTCGTTAAGATTATTTTATCACACCACGCCGAAAAAACGACCCTTATTTTAATTTGGAAAAATGTATCGCACAGTAACCGGCTGTCCTTCTTTAGATTGTGTTGTTTTTTTGTTCCTTTTTTGTGGATCAAATTCGATTACTTTAGTTCCGACCATTGAAAATGGGGAGAAACTTTATTCCGGTGATTTAGTTTTTTTTCTTTGTTTTCCAAGCAAAATTAGGTACCACAAATTATTGTCGTAATTCGAAAGTCGAGATTTTTTTTTCAAGAAAGTCAGTGGTTTTTTATGTTTAATTGCGTTCATTATTCCGTTCCAATCTTTGATTGGCTATGTTTTCAAATATCAAGTACACAAATCTGAGATGAAGGGTTCAATCAAAAGCACAATTTATGGGGATCTCCCTTTCTTATGCGGATATTCCCGGTTGATAGTCCATTGAAACTAATATGATGCATAGATTTTCCCTGTGTTATCTGGTTTACTCTGTGTTTTTGTTTAAAAAAGCTGATATTTCTTCGGAAACTTCCTTTAAAGGTTTTTACCGTTTTAGAAATTCCGTCACTATTCTCGGAAACTACTAGCTAAATCTGATATTAAGGGTTCAATCTCAAAAATTAGGTTGGTGAAATCTGAAAATCAGGGCGTGGAAAGCAGAGGCTATTCCCATGCTTTATTAGAGAAAAGCTTATGGATTTAGGAAAAGTCAGTTTTTTTAGTTTTAAATCGATTTTTAGCTTCTTTTTCACATTTTTTTTAGAAACTACCCAGCCACTTCTGAGATAAGATTTCAATTGTAAGAGCGAATAGCAGTTTTCTCGTTTAAATAAGCGGTTAAGGGGTTTAACGTGCACGTGTTACATTAAATTTTAAAAGTTACGCAATTTCGTATCTGTACAAAATATGATTAAAAATATTAGAACAGGTAGATTCAGCATTAGCTGGGCCACTAGTTTATTTCCAAGTGACCATGGCGCAAATGCGAGGACATGAGACTCCTTATCAAAATGTCGGATAATCAAATCCGGAGCATTTAAATAGTTTTTTTTGGTCGAATTTTTGCTACTGAACAATGGCAATTTGATAGAATTTGTAGGTACTTTTTTGCTAGCTTGTACTATCAAAATTACAAGCGAAGGTGGAGTAGATGTGAGAGCATGATGCCCCTAATCTCAAGAAGTTTTTTTCAAGGTCTATTTTTAATCGTTTTCTTATTTCAGTTTGTTTTTCCCGTTTAGAGCTTTGTTTTGCATTTTCCTCGCTTGTGTTTGCGAAGTGCAGCTTCGCCTCTCTGTTATGCTTATTTTTAGTTTTACACGAGTTAAATTAGTTTTTGTAGATTTTTAATGCCCTTTTGGTAATAAAAAACTCAAAAAAAAATCCGAAAAAATTGATTTTTTTTATTTTCTAGTCCTATATCTTCTTAACCTGTTGTACAGATTGGTTATATTACATTGACTGCCGAATATGCCAAAATGATAGTTTTATGTCAGATCCTTTTGTCACACTGCACAGAAAAAGCTGCACTACTTTGAAAAAAAAACTTTGTGTTTGGTAGAATTGCAAAGACTATGGTCAGAAAATTCTGTGCTACTCACAATATCGAATTGCAAAAATTTAAAGAGCGCTACTAAGAGTGCGAAAGAATTTAGTTTCGGAAGCGGATTTTGTGTAATATGTTTATTAAATTTTTATGTTTTTAAGCAGCACGTTCATAAGGAAGTTTGATGTTTTATTTTCGTTTTTTGTGGCTCTTTTCGACTCCCCCATCTTTCAATTTTGAAAAACTACTTCAGCATTGTCATAATGCAATGAAACGTGAGATGGTGAACAAAGTATTTGTTCTTCATACTTCACAATGTTACATTTCGCGTTTAGCCATAATAACACGTAAAACAACTATAAAACTAGACATTTTGAAAGGCGAGGAGGGGGAGTGGAAAAGAGTTCTTTTTTGTTTCTGACCGTTAATCTAGGCGTAAAATTTCTCGTGCCGTCTATTCAACTTTTTTGCTGTTTCGATTATTCAAGTCACGCCCAGAGAATTTTAGATTTGTATGAAGTATCAAAAAAGTTCCGAAGCTTAGGTGATTGCAATTTAAATGACCTTTTAAGAGTCGATAAACGTAGTTCAGAAATTTGCATAGGTCTTGCCTCAATTCAAAGTCATCTGCTAAAATTTAGGTAAATTGAGCTCTCCAAAAGCAGAATTGGGTAAAAAAAACATGACCGACTTCTTATTTTAAAAGTGAATTTTAGTTTTTAGATTTTCCTGCGCAATGAAAACTTCACCGATCTGTCCAGTTTTCTCAAACTGGATTCATTTTATGAAAATTGTTTTTGAATTTCAAAAAGCTTCAAGGCTAAATATTTTTTTGCTTAGAAATTTGAAGGTTGAAATTTGTTTTTCAAGACACTAGACAGTTTTTTTTGTTTCCTTGCGTTCATTGACTCTTTTCCTACCGTCTGTTGGCTTTGTTTTTTTGGTTTCATTCCAGAATGGAGGTTTTTTTTTATTTTTCATTTATACCGTACTCGCTGTTGATTTCTAGTCCTTGCTTTAGGTTGAAGTCTTTTTGTTCATTCATATTGTACTCGATCGTGAATTGAAAAGAATTTTAGTGTCAAGAAAACCCGTTTGCAATTTTTGACGTTGTAGTTTCGATCAAAAAAGCGATCAAGCATACTCATTATAGTAGGATACGCCGGGAAATTTTTCGTCAAAACCTTAAAAATTCGATTTTCTGCAGTTAAGTAGTTCTCGATGTTTTTTTACGCGCCAAAAAAAATTAGTATTCAAAAAAATTGCTATTCAAAAAATTTACTCAGTTTTTCTAGTTTTTTAGGAACGCAGTTGCCGAACATGCCTTTTTTATTATGCTTATCGAATATGTCTAAGTTCCAGACTTTCGTTCAGATCCTTTCATCACACCGCGCACAAAAAATTTGAAAAAATTGTAGGTTTTTAAAAGATGTTCGGAGCATTGTGTTCAGCATGCACAGCAACCGGCTGTCCTTATTGAGTTTTGGTCCTTGCTGTTGTCGAAAAATCACGGGCGATTTTACATATTTATGTGGTTCTATAACAATACTGTTTGATTATTGTTTTGCAAAATGCAGTGATTTTGATTTGTCTTGCCATGAGATTATATTTTCGCTTGTTAGGACGATTATTGATTTCGTTTACAGTGGGCATTGGCCGATTAGCATGTGTCGATTAGCATTCACATGTGAAAGAGTATGCTTTGACGACGTGTGCTTTTACGTTTTTTGCTCCGACCATTGAAAATTGGGAGGAACTTAGTATTCGTTTATGTTTTAGTTTTTTAATGCTTTTTGTTTTCCACGCAAAATCAGGTAACGCAAATAATGGTCGGACTGGGTTGAGCGATATATCATTCTAAAGCCCTTTCTGTCGTGATTGGAACCACATTTTAAAAAAATGGTTCTATGTCATATTAAAGCGATATATCATTTTAAAGCCCTTTCTGTCGTGATTGAAACCACATTCAAAAAATTTCAAAAAGTTTTCTCATTGTGACAAAAACCGGTTTGAAATTTTTGCTCTTTTTCTTATTTCGAGCGAATAAAGCAAACGAGCAGGCTTACGAGCTACATTATGCCTAAAGTATGACCTTAAAACTTATTTTTAAGCAAGTAGAATTAGTTTTTGAGTTTTTTAGTTTCATTTTCTACATTGTCTAATTTGATTGTCTAATTTGCCTAAATTATATTTTAACGTCAGATCCTTTTGTCACACCAATCAGAAAAAACTGCACTAATTCGAAAAAAAAAACGTTCTAAACCGTAGTTTTCTATGGTCTGAACGTTCTATGGTCGGAAGACTATGGTCGAAACATTCTACAGTAACCGGTTATCCTTGTTTTTACTGAAATATGTTATTTTGATCAGCATGCATGTGAGATTTTTTTTGATAACGCGAAATTGAAATTTCATCTTCCCTAACAAATCCAGTGTGTTTTTTGTGATAATGCGAAAGTGAAATTTCATCTTCCCTAACAAATCAAGTGGTTACCAAGATTAAGTGAAAATTTAGGTCAATTTGTTGTTGGGTCTAAATCAACATCCAGTTGAAGCAGTTATTGCATGCTAATAGAGAAACATGCTAATCGCTACGCCCCGGTTTATAGCTTTATGTGATTTGTTTATCAACGTTTATAAAGATCGAAAATGAAAACATGCGATGCACAGTAAGATGTAAAAAAGAGTCAATTATCGGCCAAAACATGCTAAAATTACGAGAAGAAAACAAAAAAAGTCAGCGAGTGAACTTTTCCAACACTGAATCAGCACTTGGCTCAGATCTTGTCCCAATCACATTACACCTCACCTGTGACATCGAAAATTTAAAAGCAAAGAAAAGCACCTCTTTGAATTTCAGGAAAGCAGACTGGTTGAAATTCCTTGAGCAAACAGAAGAATTGTTTCGAAAAGCGCAATTCTCGGGCATTGTTCTTAAGGATGAAAAATGTTAGAGGTATCAGCAACAAAGCCACGTCACAGAATATCCTACAGGGTCGCATACCTGAAATAACCCCTAACATCCGTGGAGAGGTGCTAGCAATAATGCATAAAAGAGACAACTTGAAAAAATAACACCCAGGTCAACCCAACATCACAGCCCTCAATCACAAAATGAATAATATAATGCAAGACGATAAGTGCTAAAAATTTGATCTCAGTCCAAAAAAATTTTGACTATAGAGTGTAGTCAAGCAAGTCATTGCTGACCATTAATTCAAATCACTTTCCGGACAAACTCCATCAACGACATCTAACAAACCAACTGTTTTTAATGAGGGCCCATCAATCTATGATGCCATAGTGTACGCCAAGCGCTTCAACAAACAATACATCCCCATCTAGATTAACCTGAAAAAGAAAAACTATATATATTATGCGTAAAATAAGAAAACTCTCCTTCGAAGCTACCAACTTCACGGCTGAAACTACAATTAAAAAAGTAAGGCCCTGGGTTGTGATAAGATTGCATCGATGCATCTTTACAACCATGTACTGCTCTGAATAACATAAATCAACAACATTGTTATCAAATCACTAGACAACACCTCAATCCCACATATCTGGAAGACAGGTCGACTTATCCCACTACAAAAACTTGGTAAAAATACTCAAATATCCTAAGCATTTAGGCCCAATGCCTTGCTTTCTTCCGTGGCGAAACTAGTAGAAAGACTACTCCTATCCGAACTGAAATAATGCATTGAACTGGCTAACCATCAGCATGGCTTCAGAAAAGCACGGTCGACAGTAACGGCCTTTAATTGCATGATCTAAAAATTGCATGAACTGAGGGCCTTACATAGAACGCTACTTGTCGCTTTAGACTGTACACCGGAAAGATACGGTTAACCACCGAGATTTTCCTAATGAAAAGTTTCTACCACCCTCACTAATAACACAAAACAATGGTTGCTCTCATCTTTACAAGGCAGCTTCACTTCATCGAGTTTAGAAAGCAAGCATCAAGTTAGCATAAAGTCAAACAAGGAGTCCCTCAAGGTGGTGTTCTCTCACCGGATCTCTTCAAATTGTATATGTGTTCCATCCCACAACCTAATGACAACATTAAAATAGTCACCTATACAGATGACATTACTCTTCTCTTATATCCCCATGAACGCACAAATTGAAATACTGCAAACTTGGCTCATAGATCGACATCATAATCCTTTTCTAATAGTTAAATCTATGGACACCTTATTTAGCGTATGTTCTGCCGAAGTGAATTTTGAAACTAAGGTTGATATTGGAGATAATCGCTCAAAAACATCCTAAAATTTTGGGTTTTCAATTTGACAACATGCTTAAATTCGGATTCCTATGAATCGCGAGTTTTGCCAACAGGAAGGCAAAGTCTATTATCGAACAGGAACGTGTAAAGGTCATGAAAAATGTAATCGACTTCTAATTCAAGAGAAAGGCCAATGAGGAAAAGGCTAAGATTTCTGGCGTAAGTTCGAGGTGCGTATCACGTGTTTTCCTCAATATTTTGATCGAGTTGGTTTTTCATTAGCGTTTAGTTCCATTGTTTCTGCTCTTTGCTTTTGCTTAACATTGTTTGCAATACAGCTATATAACTATGATTTGTTGTTTTAGGAGGAAAATGCACGACTGAGTCAAACCAATGCGTCGCTCCAATCTCAAATTAGTCAAAAACCAGAGCTGGGATCCAGTTCCAATGGCCAGAAGTCCAAAAGCCCCCTGGCTACCATCTTGCTCATATTCATCGCCCTCTGCTTCGGAGCAGCGATAGGAATATGGACGGCGCCTATCGTGGCTGGAGATCTGTGAATGTCTTATATGGACTAATGATGAAATTTATAGTTTTACAAAGCCCTAAAATGGCGTCTTTTGTTATACGGCCCAAAAATATAACATGCATTTGTAAATTTCATCTTTGAAATTGTTCCCGCTTTGTTCTGAATGCGTGGAACTAGATTTTTAAAATCGCTTTAATTTTTAAAGGCTTAAAACATCAACTTTGGGCCGTATAACAGGAAAGACCCCGAAAATGTCCTTTTTCAACTTAGAAATGCATCAATGGTGTTACAGCACTGACCTAATCAACCTGTACTTTGTTTTGACCCAATGCTACGATGTTTTTCCGCATTTTGTTGTACTTCAATTATTTAGTCTGAACTCAAATTAACAGTCGAATTGAAGTGCAACGCCAACTAATTATATCGTTGAACTGAACTACGTATTTTATTTGAATCATAACTCTCAGCAATAAATTCGAATGTCCGGCTAAAAGTAGTTTAAGAATGCCCAGTTATATGATGTCCAGATACGTTTTTAACGTGGTATTTTTCAGAGTGTTATATTTTTCAATATTCAATTTTCTCAATCTGTGAATACTAATAGTATGTAAACTTGGCCGCGAAAATATTATTTTGAAGGCTTTTGTAGCACCGTTAAATCAATATTCGCGAATGGATTTGATTTAATTCGAGAAGCATTGTAGTCAATTTAATACAAACTGAAATAAACATGCTGTAAAATAGTTCTGAGGCTTTTGTGGGGTTGGGTCCCGCTTAATTTTTTTTCACTTTTTCAGAATTTTGAGCAGTTTTCGTCATGGGGGCTTTCAGTGTTTTTATTTGAGAATTGAAATGATTGACCCTTAGTGAGTAGGAGGCGTTATGTACTTGTTACGACGTATGTATTAATTTATTACTGATAATGGATGGTTTTGGAACGCAAATGTTCTGTCAATATAAATTGCAAGTCGAATTGATGTCTTTGAACATTTCTTTTGAAGCCAATGTGAACCTCGATTTGTGAGACATCGTTCTAGATATCCAGATGTGCTGATTAAGTGCCAATGAACAAAATAGTGACACTCATTTAGGTCTTGTTGATTTTTTTTCAGGAAAAACTTCCAATTCGAGCTCAAATTTGATTTTTAGCTTGTTTAGTTGTGATTTCCTTCAAGTTCAATTCCAATTCATTTACTGTTAGGAAGGCACATTACGCTTTGCTGTAACTAACATGCTTCACTCCAACCCAAATCATTAAAATAATCAGTTATGTGGTATAAAAACCACTTAGCTTTATTTATTCCCAGATATGTATTTTAAGAATCTGTAAAAATCGAGAGGCAACGCCCGTAAAAGTAGCAAAAAAATTGTTAATTTTAAGCAGGGACACAACAGCGGTTCTCCATAAAGAGCTGACCAGCTTGTGTGTAGGCCATATCCCTTGTGGGTCAAATGTCTTGGAGTTTTCTTGTTTACCTTATACTTTCGTTTCTTTTGCAAAAAACTGCCTCTTTCAGCGAGCATTCAGAAGGGTTTGAGATGGAATTTTTTCTAATCGAGTAAGGTTTTCAGGGAAGTGGACTGCAGATAAGTGACAAAAATATCAAATTTTTCATATTTCATCCGTGCATAGAACCACAATGATACTCAATCGATTCTGGAAGAAGAGAGATCCCAGGAAAATTCATTGGTCTTCTGTTTGAAAGTCAGCAAAAAAATGTCTTCTCAGTGCACACATGAAAACAGTTTAATGTCAAAGTTTTTTTCCAGATTCACTCTCAATATAAACTCGGAAAAATGGAGCAGAAAAATGCAGTTGGAGCTACGAATCCCGGCCTAATGAAAAATATCCATTTATTTTTTTCGCAAGCCGAATAGTGCTGACAAAAAGCTCGGTTGTCAAAAGTTAGTTCTTGATTTTTAAAGTGCTTGAAAGGGTTATAGTTTTTCGTTAAGAAAAAGTTGAAAATTTCAAGTCATTCTTATGAGTCGATGAACATAGTTCAGACTCTCATTTAGGTCGCGATGACTTAGACGTTTTTTTTTTCAGGGTAAGATTTGAAAGTTTAATTCAAGCTCGATTTAACTTTTCTGCGGTTTGACTTTAGGTTTTTTATAAATCAATTCATTTTTTGCTAAAAGGAAGGCAAACTCCACTATCGATCAGCAAAAGTGTAAAGCTTACGAAAAACGAGTTTCCAAAGCGGAATGTAATTTCCAGATTTACCAGTGAAATAAACATTTCATCTAATAATTCAGTTTTCTCAACTGGGTTACTTTTATCAAGAAAGTTCCAATGATAAATGGTTCTAGAAAATCAAAGGGTTTTAAGGGCATCTATTTTCTTCGAAAATTGAGGTTTTTCAGAAATTAAGTCAGTATTTATTTACTTTGTTCATTGACTCTTTCATTGACTCTTTTCCAACTGTCTGTTGGTTATGTTTAATCGATTTCCTGATGGCTATGTTCAAGGTTTTGTGACAAAGAGTTTATAGTTTGGTAAGAGGCGTTTTTCTAGCTTTTGAAGCGTTGTTCTAGCCTTTGAAGCTTTTTCCAGTTTTTGTCAAAGCTGTTTTACTTTATACTTGTCTCAATCTATGCAATACAAAAAAGGTTCCTAGCAAGAATTGAACCCGGATCTCTGCTTGTTGAGGCGAATGCTTTGGCCGCGAACTAAAGCAGACTCTAAAATGGACATTTCAACCAACAAAGAATGCCTTAATTTTCGGAATAAAATTTGTCTAAATGAACAGAGGTCCGGTTATTTAGTTTTGTCTCAGAACTATTCGCTTTGGTGGTAGAGTGACATACAATATCTGCCAAAGGCCTATAGGCTCGAGTTTGCATCCCGGCTCGAATGTCGTTTAGCACACTGCATGCTGTACAGTGCGCACTGAAACATAACATTGGTTAGTCAATAAAAGTAAGGCCCGTTGGGGCCCGTTGACAAAAGTGAAAACCCCGGCCCGGCCCGTTGAGGCCCACGGGCGGCCCGGCCCGTTGACAAGTATGGTGGGAAACAGCTGCATCCTCCACATATTGTGATATATCACCACTTAATCATATTCTATACTTAAAAAATAATAACACAAAAACAGTGTTTTTGACCTTCTTTTCTTAATCTTCTATGTTAGTGTAGATATAACTGCAAGTCTTGCAATATAAATTCCTATCATTGGCTTGAAAGATAAATTTAAAAAAAAACTTTCGGATCATTTTGCGATAGGTTGTGAAATAGCAAATTGAAGTGCAACTAATTTGTAGGAGCAGTGAAAAGTTTATTAATTCGAGCAAGTTCCCGATTACAAAGTTTCTGATTGCAATAAAATTTCTTTCTTCTTCAGCCGCTGCGATCAGCAAAGTTATTGCAACCAAGGCAGGACGATTTTCCTGTTAACAAACTTTTCACGGAACGCATCAATTTGTTTTATTAGCATCTGAAGCTCTAGAAACAAATTTTGCACGTCACTTGGGTAATTTTCATGCGGGCCTGGGCGACATTTTTTGTAAGTTTTTTATTGGGAAAATTTAAATGTCAGACTATCGTTTCTCTGTTTTTTGTTCAAATGGGCCAATGATGAGCACGCAACCAAGAAACGGACATGGTATCACTCGAATTTCTACAGGAACATCTTCATTCTTGCTCGATGTTGGCAAGAAGGTAATTTATACTTGGCGATCAACTGTGGTTCACCGAAAGAGCAAACAGATTGAATGTATAATTGCCTTTTTTATGCTTAAATTGCTTTGAAATTGAAAAGAGCCAGTTATCAAGATTTTGAACATGCTATGGGCGTTTATTCAATAAATATACTGCTGTTCGATGATTTGAAGTTTTAGAGAATTTTAGAGTTTTTGGAAAGTAATGCTACTCTTGTACAGGTTTTTCACACTGAAAAAAAATCATCAATCGATGTCTGTAATAATCATCAAAAAGCGGCATTTTTTGCTTGCCCGGTCTCTATTTCTCTTGAAACCATTATAAAATTTAAGATATCAAAATACACAGCTTAATCCGGAGAATTTCTCTGTTTATTCTACCGATAACAAGTTTTTTGTACATTATTTGGCTGGAACGATTGCTGCGCAAATTGTGTCGACCTAAATAAGTGTCGGCTTAATTCTAGAAACGAGGATTACTCGGTTTCTCTTGTTGTGTACAACCTAAAAGAAAGCATTAATCAATTTCTTAACAGTGCTCAGTAATAGCTAAAATTTACAGTATGTTTTTATTTCTAATTTTGATTTTTTTTGCTCAACATACAAGTATTTTTGTTGCTCCTTATTGGAGTCTAAAAGAGTGAAGTGATTTTCAATTTTTTTAGTCGTCCTGACCATTAAAATCGGGAGGAACGTTGTCTTCGTTTGTTTTTTTTTGAAGTTTTTTCCTGTTTTTTGTTTTTTTTTTCACCCAAAATCAGGTGATACAATTAATCAACGGAATAGCTTGAGTGACATATCGTATTAAAACCTTTTTAATCATAATTCGAACTACATAAAAAAAATTTTGAAAGAATTTGTCCCAGTGTCGAGAAAAACAGCTTTAAAATATTTAGCCTTAGTCTAGTTTCAAGCAAGTGAACCGATCGGGTAACTATCATTTAACAAAAATTGTTTACCTAGGCTAAGAAAACGATTTCACTAAAAAGTGTTTAAAAATATTAGAAAGTTATTGTGCGAAAAAATATGATTTTTTGTGATTCATTTTTGGAAGACCTTTGTTGTCGGTTATGCCTTATTCACTAACGTTCTACGCGTTTGAATAGTTCTCTCATCACACCACGCACAGAGAAGAAATACACTAGAATTTAAAAAAGCAGAAATCTAAATGGAAAAAAAATCTAAACATTGTGCTACGTGCACAGAAACAGCTATCTATTTATACTATATTTAAATCCGAGTGACAGCTATCTCCTATGTTTTAGCATAATAATTTTGCATGTTCAACGAAAGAGTTTTTTCTTGTTCAAGATATGTCATATATCGCAATGCTTAAGAAATTTTCTGTAATGGTTTTCCCCAAGGTTATTAATTTTCAGTAACTTTTTTGCGAGGCCAAATTAAGTCTGTCTGTCTGTATACCTGCTTTTTAAATTAATTTGATTGTTTGTCTAACCGTCTCCTAACTTTCATCTATCTATCTATCTATCTATCTATCTATCTATCTATCTATCTATCTATCTATCTATCTATCTATCTATCTATCTATCTATCTATCTATCTATCTATCTATCTATCTATCTATCTATCTATCTATCTATCTATCTATCTATCTATCTATCTATCTATCTATCTATCTATCTATCTATCTATCTATCTATCTATCTATCTATCTATCTATCTATCTATCTATCTATCTATCTATCTATCTATCTATTTATCTATTTATCTATCTATCTATCTATCTATCTATCTATCTATCTATCTATCTATCTATCTATCTATCTATCTATCTATCTATCTATCTATCTATCTATCTATCTATCTATCTATCTATCTATCTATCTATCTATCTATCTATCTATCTATCTATCTATCTATCTATCTATCTATCTATCTATCTATCTATCTATCTATCTATCTATCTATCTATCTATCTATCTATCTATCTATCTATCTATCTATCTATCTATCTATCTATCTATCTATCTATCTATCTATCTATCTATCTATCTATCTATCTATCTATCTATCTATCTATCTATCTATCTATTATATATTTAAATGCGGGCTTCACTATCTCGCCATGTTTAGGCTTTTTCAACGTATTGTTTTTGCATGTTTAACAAAAGAATTATTTCACGTTTAAGCTATATCGTATATTGCTATGGTTAAGATTTTTTTCGATTTTCCAGTTTAAATTCAGTGTTTTTTTCATCAAGTTTGAAATAAGTAACCTAATAGTGGGATGTTGTCAGAGTTTTCTCAGGTTTTGCGATTCTGGCCTCCATATATGAATAACCAAATCCTTTTAGTTTACTATATAGGCAAT